TTTTTTTTTTTTTTTGGTTTTTTGAGACAGGGTCTCCCTATGTAGTTGTGACTGACCTGGAACTCACTATGTAGCCCAGGCTGGTCTCCAACTCACAGTGATCCTCCTGTCTCAGCCTCCCGAATGTTGGGATTACAGGTGTGCGCTACCACACCCGGCGAGACAAGGTCTTCTTAAGCTGCCAAACTGCCCAGACTGGGCTTGAACTTGGAATTCTCGTGCTTCTGCCTGCCTGCACAAGAGCTAGAAGGAAAGGTGTGCACCACTATGCACAGCTTACGTATTGTTTCTTACAACATGTAAAACCTTGGAACAAGTATTCTTACCTTCTGTGAACAGTACTCAACATCTGAAAAACAAAACAGCAGCAACAAAAGGCATCTCAACCACTTCCCGTTCTCCTACTTGCAACCACCCTATTATACTCCTCTGCTTCTTAGCATGACCTATAAGGGAAAATTTACTTTTTAAAAAAATTTCCCTCTGCTCTAAAACTTACTCCCATTAGGCCTTCATCACTTCTGCTAAGCTGAAATGGTTGATCAGAGTCATGAGTGCCCTACAACCCTAAATCCAATGCTTGGTTCTCACTCCTCATCTTGGGGGACCATTGGAACCATTTGGGATCTCGTGCTCCATCTTGAAATTTACACCAAACTTATTTTATTCCTCCTTCATTGGCCTTTCTTTCTCCATCTCCTTTTGTTCTTCACCAATTATGATCCCAACCTTTAATTCTCTCCTCTGATGTATGAATTCTTACTCCATAGGTTTCTTTTACAGTCACATACCTTTCAGTGCCATTTACAGGTCAGCAACTCCCAAACCCGTATCACCACCAGAGGCTCCAGTTACAGACTCCACACTGTACACTCAGTGTATCGAACATTGACTTGCTGGTTTTCACATTCCAAACTGTTCCACCCATGGATGGCTGTTCTTGATGTCCAGTTCTAGTATTAATTGTGCAGTTCAAAAGCTATAGCCCGACTCTTCTCTCAGACTCTGTGTCCAGGAAATCCTATTGGCGTTCTCCTCCAAACATATGCAGTACATTACTTTTCACTGCTCCACTGGTCTAAGCAACCCTAATGTCTCTGTTTTAGGAGCACAGTAGTCTTTTAATAGTCTCCTCCTCTACTGAAACTGTATTGTCCTTCTCACACAGTTAAGTCGTGTCTTCATTAATGTAAGTCAAGTCTCAAAGTCCCCTGTTTAAAAATCCAGGAATGGTTTATCGTCCTATTGCAGTCACACAAAAGTCAAACTCTTTTTTGTTTTGTTTTGTTTTTTTGGTACGGAGATCAAACTCAGATCCTTGCACTTGCAAGGCAGGCAGTGAAACCACTGAGCTAAATCTCTGGCCCCAAAAGTCAAACTCTTTGCGGTGGCCATTAGCAGGAGAGTTCAAAGCAGTATACCTTTATATACATCTCATTTTCATTATCAAAAACTTACTCTGATTTATCGTATAAAAAATGTTGCTGGTTGTAAGGTTTCTGCCTATTCCTTAGATAAAAAGAAGCAAACTCAGTCTACCTAATGAATTATCCTATGAAGTATTTTTATTCTTTTCTGTCCAAAAAGTTTATTCTTTTTGCTTTTAAATATCCATGTAGATATTTTTTTTTAAATTTTTTTCCAATGAATGTGAGATGATTCTGACTTTAGAAAACCACATATATTTAAAAGATGAATAAATAACTACTTAGAAAACATGTATTCTTTCCACTTTATTCTTTTCATTAATAAAAATAAAAAGATTGGGTTTGGCAGTAGTTATCAACTATACCTTATTTAATTTTTGTCCTTAATATCAAAATTTTGCTGGCAAGTGAAGTTATGTGAAGAAGACATATTTAATAAAGATTATGTGAAGAATAAAAAGAAGTTACAGCTTCTATCTTAGTGCAGAAATATGAAAATCTAATAGAAAGTCAATTATAGGTAAAAAGAATATTCAAGAAATTACTGTGCTTTTCGCAGTATCATCAATATTTTATGTCACATTTTGAAGCTTCCTCTATGTCAAGGAATACATCTGTACAGAGGGAATATTATTATCTTGAGTGAACAAGTATGAAAGAGTAGGAAAGAAAAGACTTTTAGTCTTAAACCCCTAAATATGTAGCATTTTAATAAATCTAGATTTTTCCAATCTTAAAACATGGAAGATTTTCCTCAGGGCAGTCTTTCCTTTATTTGCCTCCCTTACTTTTGTATTTCATGTGTCCACAAAGAAATATTTTTAAATAAATCTGTACGCGTTAATATAAATAATCACATTAAATACAGTGAATACATTAATGGAGTGCTAATATACTACCGACCTCTTGCCACACATTGTGATATAATAGCTTCATTTTATGGTAAGGAGAAATAGGGCTTAGGAAAAAATTAAAGGAATATAATGTTTAAAGAAGAACATCTTATTTGTCAGCAGGGTCATTTTCTTTAATATTCAAGGCCAAATTCAGACTCACCCTATCTCCATACACTTATATATTGCCATCTTACATTTATTATTAACTCAATTATATCCCAGCCTAAGTTTTACACATTACTTCCACTCTCACTTCCTCTTTGTTGTGTTTCCTGTCAGTTAAAGTTACCAGCTATGTCACAATCTAGAGACTAGAATCAACCATTAATTCTCCATTGCTCTATTTCACTGCTATACTGATGATATCAGTTATTCCTTTTATTTCTAAGATAACTTTTCTTTCTCTCCCCCCATTCCCTCTTGTATTTTTGAATCTGGATTCTTTTATGTGAGGGAACACCATAGAGAGGAGAGAGATTTGTAATTCCTCCAAGTCAGTTGTGGTCTTCCTTCATTATCAAGACTGGATGCTGTCCAGGCACTAAAAGAATCACTGATGTTCCATTGGAACCTAAGGACTCTCCCGAGATTCCAGATGAGAAAGCCACCTTCTAGTGTGAGAAGATTCTCCGTGTTAGCTGAGCCCTCAGTAGGACGAACATCCTTCCAAAGGACAACAGGCTTTGGTCACTTCAGTCCTCTAATAATCACCCACTACTTAAACAAATAGACATCATAGTCAAAATGGGAATCACAAAGCCAGTAGGTTCTGCTCTGTTTGTACTCCTCACAGAAGATCCCAAATTGCTCAGTTGCTCTTCAAGTCATCTTCTTTCTGCTTCCTGTCCCTTGACTATGTACTTCCTGTGACTCTTCGCCTCTCTGCCAACCTTTGTCTGAATTTTCCTATTTCTCGCTGGCACTGCCCTCTTCCAGTAAACATACTGCCTTATCTCAGCCTTTAAAAATATTGCTCTGTCTCTTTGTTTCCTAAATAGTTCTTTCCTAAATGCCATGCTTTTCTGGAGGCTCATGTTCAAGAACCCAGTCATTTCTACACATCAAAGACGACTTGAGAAAAGAAACAAAGGTACCTGTTTCCCTGCCCACTGAGTGGGATCTCAGGCCACAACCTCAGTTTTCTGTCAAAAATTCTTCTTGGCCGCTCATTCCACCTACATATACCTCACCCAATCTTGTATAGTGTGTGTGTTATTTACAGTCTTCTGGACACTGTCCCACTATGCTGATGGCTTCAATACCCAAATTTAAGGCTTTCTAAGCATTAACGATGCAGTTTATCCTTAGCCACTTCTTATTTTTGCCAAAATCTGCAGTATGTTCAGGACCTGAAAGCACTTCTTTGTTTTAGCATATCCAGGAATTGTATATGCATTGTACTTCAGCAATCATCCTTCAGATTCCTGGACCTCATTATTACCAGGGGAAGTCCAAAGTTAAAATTGTAAACAATTCTGTACACTTTTACCTCTTTCTTTCAAATGTTTCCTTTGCCATTAGGGAAAAGTTCAATATTTTTTCTTGGCAACTAGAGCTCTTTAGCATTCTGGCAACCACCTCCTTTTAATTGTCTCCTCTACTTATCAGTTTGACCTCATCTTTTGTTCTATGTACAGTGAGCCACTCACCATTTCTAGGTACGCCTAATCTTTTTATGCAGACATACCCTTGTCTGTGTACTTTTCTCTTCCCAGAATATTCACTTCCACATCTCCATCTCATTAAAACCCGTCCAATTTACACTGTAAGACCAGGTTTAGTTATTTCCTTATGTCTCCAAATCCTCAACAAAAATTTAGTCACTCTTTCTTCTGTGCTTACAATAACTTGAGGATAAACACTCAAGTTACCATAATTGTTTTTAAAACATGAACTTAGTTGTCAAAATTATGAGTATGACTCTCACTTATTCAATAGTGAATACTTACCCTATATCAATTAAATTTCCATTTTATAAGACTAAACCAAAAATTTAAAGATATCTCAAATCTAGTAATTAATTTTGTCCCAGACTATTATGCTATCAAAAAATATTCATAAAATGTTACTCTACTTGGGAAAATAATGCTACCATTTTTTATTTTCAGGATCAATTTTCCTCTTGAAACAAAATCACTCCCAAGGGAATCCATGCTCACAATAAAAGTGTTTGGGATTGGTTGTACAAACAACACTGCAGATTTATTGGCCTGGACCTGTCTTCCATTGTTTCCCAAAGAGTATGTATATCATTTGTGATTTATAAAGCTCCCATCTTAATAAAACCTTACTGGAACTAAATGTTTTGCAGGATGAGGCATAATGAGAAAATCAGGAAGGCATTTTATTCTAAAATGAGATATCTCAGAATAAGTTAGGATGATTAAAAGCAGAACTGAAAAGCAAAAAATGTAGAAATGGCTTTAGAGGTGGACTCATGCTCAGCTTGTCAGCTCGGTCATTACAATGAGAAAGCATTAGCATGACCAATCTCAATTACGTTTTCTTCTCTGACCAGCCACTTTCTCTGGAATTAGTAATTCAAAATGATTGGGATTATTATAGTCATTTAGATAAAATATAAGTCATGAAATTCTGAGGCAGGCAAAATTATACAGTGTAACTGATTTACTGACCTTTTATTGTCAAGAGGAAATATTTGATAACTTTAAGGTGATCTTTTTTCAGGAAAGTAAACCAACTAGGAGTTCAGATATTCTCCCTGAACGAATGACCATTGAAAAATTGCTTTAATCATACTCTTAGGAACAGTTAATATGTAAGCTATTTGATTAAGTAATTAATGATTCTCTAGGTTGTTAGGAGAAAAATGTTTCAAAACATCAGCTTTTTTCACCTGTCAAGAATTGCTTCAGAATCAAAATGACAGCGTTCAGGATCTTCAAAAAATTATAATCCACATTGTTATGTCAATATTGCTATGAAATATATTTCTGACTTTGCTGCTTGAAAAAGATTTGGTAATGTAAAAATGTTAAGAAAACTCTTCATCAGTTTTGAATTCCAACACCTAGGCAAGGTAAATAATCACTGAAATGACTATGATAAATCTTTAAGATTTTCTTTGTTGGGTTTTAATTCTGATCTAGGGCGTGTGTGTGTGTGTGTGTGTGTGTGTGTGTGTGTTCTATTACTAGATTTCATGCTTTAGCACTTTTCCACATATATGTTCCTTGCAGACAGGGCATGTATTTATCTCTGTAATGTCTGTCATCTAACATAATGTCTCGTATGAATAGGCAATCGATAGAAGTTTGTGTACAAAATTGAGTTGAAAAAAAATCAATGCCTATAGGTGGTTTAGAATGAAAGATTTTAAAAGGTCTACAAGAAACAGATTATCCCTAAAATAAATATCTACTGCTATTAGTAGACATTTCAAAAATCTGATTTGTGTGCTAAGAACTTTCATTACTTTCTCACTAGGAGCAACTACACAGGGGGCCTTCTTTCTCAGGAGAGAATTTCTTTCCTGTTTCAACTGGAGTGTTTGTAAGATCTAGCATTTTTATAGAATAATATTTCTAGTTATTTACTGAAAACACCCATTTATTTTCTCATCCGCAAATACACTGCTTTTCAGTAAATATTAACTATATAATAAGTCAGGGATGGTTTTGTCTTTCAAACTAATTGTCAAAGCTCGTTTGCAATGCTTGTTTTGCCATGTGTAAGTCACCGTTGGTCACTATTTCGTAAGCAGGTGGTGGTGGAAAGTGACCATCTATGAGGGGTGCCGTTTGGGGTTGACCCTAACTGACAGTTTTGTGGGGGAAGCTTTCAAAAGTGTAGGTGAGACCAGAAGCACAACTTACTTCAAGGAGCATTTCAAGATGTATTTGTGAGACCTCAGAAATCTGTCATGTGTGGCAGTTGAGGAAAAGCAATGACTCCCACATTGCTCATTGCAACAAGGTGTAGAGATTATGATTAAATTTACTTATGCAGACATTTCCAGATCACAGTAAACACATCTTAATTTAATGTCCATTTGTACAATGACCCCCTGACCATTAACATTTAGTATTGAGTCTTTCAGTACCATTTGAACTGACCATAGCTAGCGAGTCATGTGGAACTGTATAAGCACTTATGTCATTATTTTTTCCACCATATATATAACCTAAAAATATGCTTGCAATATGCCTTTCTCTTCCTGGTTTCCAGAACAGAGTTTCCAAAGAAGCCACAGTGATTATGCTCACATACATCAGTTATAAATGAATCAATTAAGTCTAAAAATAAAAAATAAATTTCCACATTTTCAAGCATGCAAACTCAATCTTCAATTCTAGAAAGAAAAAATAGTCAAGTCTAAAGGAAAAATTGGGCCAACAAAATTTTATAATCTTCCTTTTTCGTGGACAAGACTCTTGCTTTATCTGTATTCACAGTGACCCTGAATGGCAGCAAGAAAGTGTTATGCTCAACAATTTTCACAAGCTCTCTCCCCAAATTAAGTTCACAACAAATACTGTTACTTAGCATTTCTAAAATGTGGTGAGCTGCTTCAACACAGAAAGTCACCACCCTGACTGAACAATAGAATTTTATAGGAAAGTTGTGCAATTAAAGTCCCAATATCCCCAAAGATTCTAATTTAATTGATTGGTGGTTTTGCCTGAGCATCAGTATTTTCAAAACTATCATGATGAGAAAGGCTGGGAAAATTAGAAACTTCTGCAAAATTTTTAAAGAGGCTTAAAGTTAGTCTTAATCCCCAAACAATTTGATTCTTCAGACAACAGCCTGAATTGCTAACTGTGACCCATGAGTAGCTAAGCCTTTCAGATATATCTTCAAAATTAGATTACAAAAAAATAAAGCCCTTCTTTAATTCCTTATTGTCCTTCCTTTTGATCCAAGAGAGACCCTCAGAATGCAATTAGCCCACATATTTCATTTACAGGTGAAGCACTCTATCACAAAGGCAGGTTAAAAGTTTGTTGTAAGGCATCAGTCTACTTTAAAATAGAACAAGGACAGGAATGCAGATTTGATTTCTCTCCCCAGCTTTTTCCAGCTTAAGCACGTTCACTTCCTACTTCAGGAGCCATTCCCTACTCCAGGGACACACTATGGAAACCTCACCACTCATGAGGGGATTGATCCTCCCTCAGCCTTACCTGGGTTCTATCCTCGGGTGAGAAATCAGAGTCAAAATCCCAAATAGTTTTGTATCATCACATCCTCAGGTCCTGATAACACCCTAGTTCTTAAGTCTTCCTATTCTCTTGTTCCAGGAGGCCAGCAATAGATCCATATAATCTTATAACTAAAAGTAATAATTATTTCATGAAACACCTTATTTTATTGCTTGAGGAAGCAAGGGCCCAGAGAGCACTAAAAAAAAAAAAAAAAAAAAAAAA